TAATTTGGCAGTTTTAAGATCAGTTTCTACAGATATTTTTAACTTCGAGATCTGCGAATTTTTCTGTGCTTTTTTTTAAAACATCATAACATTGATAAATTTCATTAAAGTAATGGTAATATATTGAAATTATATTTAAAAAATAACATTAAAATAAAGCATTTTTATTTTTCGCTATCATATTATAAAGTTTCATTTTGGCAACTTATTATACAATATTTTGAATTCTGAAAAATAAACAAGGTTAAATGCCATAAAGCACAATTTACGAAACACCTCTTGGCAAAAGCAAAATTAGCTATGCAATTAAATTAAAAATGTTGTTTTAATTTTTCATAGTAAGAGTTTTTCCCATGCAGTTCTCTCAGGATATTCAAAATTCTCAGACTATGCATCAGTTTTCTCTATAAAATTAAATTTACACTTTTTCCCTTCTCTTTTTTTTTTTTTTTTTTTTCAAAATATTTCTGGCTTTTTGCTGTTACAGAATTGGTAAGGATAATTGTTCTTTAGTGATTTTAGACATTGCAGCTTGGAAAGTTTAGAAAAATGTGAAGGCAAGATTTATAGACCCACGATTCTAGAAGATTCGAGAAATATGTGGCAAAATGAAAAATGTCTCCATGGTATCAACAAGTAATAGATGTATTTTACGGAAAGTTTGCGATGAATTTCTTATTTTTTGGAGAACATCTGGAAGAACAATGAAAACATAATATTTGAATCCTGATACTAGAATCTTTTTCTTAACATGTTTATCTCCATTTATTTTCTCTACTTTTCACTAGACACAAACGTGGGAAATATCAAAAATGCTTTTAATCTTATCACAGGAGCATGTATTATAGAAGAGGATTTTTTATTAATAAAGAATTGAAAACTTACAATTTAAAAAATTCATCAAATATGTCTTAATGTGTCATACAGAGAGCTGGCCACTAGGCATTTTTCCACCTGGTGCCATCTCTGTGGATCCTAATTCTGCTTCTTAGTGCCTTTCTAAATTCTGCTTCCAATGCCTGCTCTAAATTTTAAAAGTTTTGTTATTTCTAGATTTTGTTTTACGGTGTGTCACAAGGCCTTTACCATATATATTTCATATTTCCTCTGAATGTTCATATTACTAAAGAGATAAAATTAGCTGCTTTTTCTATACATTCTAAATGCATACTTCAAAGAAATGAATCAATTCTTTCTGAGAAAATTATTCTTCAAAGATATATGCAGTTATTTACATTATCATGTAAATTACCCAATTGTTTATGATTTCAGCCTTTACTATAATTTCCCATTTCTGTTTCCTCATATGATAGAGTTACTGAGCCAGATTAAATTGAAATTAAATTGTATAATCTTTGACCACTAGTCCATATTTTTAGTTTGAATTTAACTGTTCTTGTTCAATTATGTCACTGTAAGCTATAATTGATTTTGTTAGCATCAGAACATGCCTTTATGTTCTAAGTTCTTTTTTTAAAAAGAGGCTTCTTTAAACCTCTGTATGATATTATAGTTACTTTCAGACATAGCGATAATTTGCTTCATGTCTGTCGAGTGTTTTGGATCATTTAACTTTTATCAGATCAAGTAAACCCTCATAGGTAATTGTGGAGAGGTTGACAAGTTAGGAGATAAAGCATGCAGAAACTAGCGAGAGCACTGGTTTGCATATAGAGACAAATCTCTAATTGTTAGAAAAGATGCTTAAAAAGAGGGAAATCAATATAAACTAGCCAAAATGCTTGGGAAGGCTTTAAATTAAAATTAAGGATAAGTATTTCGTTGAGTGTTGTTGTTACAAAACATAAATGTTTTATAGCTTTTAATGTATCTTAATATCGTTTAAGAATCAATGTCATAAATTACATGTATTTTAAACTGTTAAATTTTTATTAGATTTTGATTTTAATGGGCTTTTTAACAAATATTGTTAAAAAAATAAAATTTAATAGTGGTCATATAAATCCATAATGTCTAAGATTATATAATTACCTAATTTAATTATTTATAACTAACTGCTTACCCTTAAAAATTATGCCTACATATTAATGTGAGTTATTGCCCTTCATCGATACTCACTATGGTCACAAGATAAAACACAAAAATGTGAAAATTCAAGTAAAACTTATTCTTTGCATCTAGTAAGACTTAAAATAATACAAAACAACGTATCACCTCTGGTGCTTTAATGGCTTGTTGGAACCTTAATGTATATTAACTGAGTTACAACTCCTGGAACTCTACACTACTGGACACTAACTGCATCAAAAAGAGCCTGACTAACTTTCAACACTTGCCAACCGTGCCTTCATCAGGCCTCTCAGGCAGTGGCGTAAATAAGGGTATGCAAGGAATGCTGTCGCATAAGAGCCCAAAGGCTTAGGGGGCCCATGAATGTCCTGCTGAACTACATTTACGTATTTAAACTTAAAATACGTATAAAAATCATGTATTTGAGTAGTTTAGGGTACCAAAAAATTTTCTTAAAAGAAAGGGGGAAAACTTTACCACACATATTTTTTACAAAACTTGTATGTTCAAATAGTTTTCTTTATGAAATTTATGATAACTATGTTTTATATTTAATAAATGTATCATTTACTTTATAAAAGTTCTTATTTATGACTTGTATATTATTGCATAAGTCATGTTCGTAAGCTCAGTTGATCACAGAGTGCTATATATTAGTATAATTTCTTTTTTGTACGTTTACTTATCGTGTTGTCTGTTAGTTTATAGCATAACCAGTTAGTTACTAGCTAAATTAAGTGGAAAAAAACTTGGATTGGTGCAGATTTTATGTAGAAACTTGAAATATACTTGCATGTAAAACCTACTGGATTTTATTTAAAAATCTCCGCAAATCTAGACTTTCTTCCCTCCTTTTTTAAGCGCAGTAAATTTATTGGGGGGCCGGGAAAATTTTTTGCATAGGGGCCCAAGAGTTCTAGCTATGCCACTGCTCTCAGGTTTATTATTATCAGCAGGTCTCTCTCTAGACAAGCAGCAGCGGTGACAACATTCAGTCTTTTGTTGTGAATCATGCTGATAATGATCTTACTTCTCATTTTAACCTATGCTGTTTGGCTTAAAATCTACCTGCTATTTACTAAACCTGTAGACTAAGTATGTGATAAAATGAGACAAAAAAAAAATCAGCATAAAGCTAACTGTTAGTAAAACGTAAATGTCACTTATCTTCTTTCAAATATGTCCAACTGTTATAAGTGTAAAATATTTAATGCTACTTGATAAATTGTATAAAGTTTATTTTATTCTTAAACTTATTAATAATTATGTTAATTAATTCATGTTTAGTAATAATGCCTACTACTTAGGGATTTTTTTTTATTTTTAGGATGGTATTACAAAAGAGAAATTCAGGCATAGATGATATTTTTAATTGAATTTATTCAGTTCCCATTTGCTCTAAAAGTCCTTAATTTCTGTGTGCAGAAATATGTACGAACCCTGTTTTCGACATAATCGAAAGTTCAAGCTCATTTTTTATAAAATTGCTCTAACAGTCTGCAAAAAATAATAAGCTGGATCCAATTAGAAGATTAAGGAAGAATGCAATCTGCAACATTAACTGAAATAGATAATTAGATAATTTTAGCCTAGCTTATACCATCCGTTATACATTAAACGTGCATGCGTAAATGTACTATGCACATGCGTAAAGGTATTATACGTTTACGCATGCGCAGAAAGCTTGTAGCTCTGAGGTCCGGATTATAGATCATTCGAGATTATGGACATCTGGATTACAGACTTTGTACTGTATTATTAATTATAAGTGTAAATAATAATAATATGAGTATAAAATATGAACATTTCAGAAACTTGCATTCCTAAATTAATGTTAATTACTTGATACATTTTAGAAAGAGAATGTAATTCTCATTTGTTTTACAGTTATCTTAAAATATTAGATCATATTTGTTATCTGCAATTTGCTGCGAGTCCTTAATTTTTTTCACTGAGGATCCATAATATCCATGTGCAGAAGTATATACGGACCTTGTGGGTGAATTCTGCTTTTCTAATAAACCTTGCTTTTAATATTACATATGAACTCCCTCTTTGAGTATTCCCACTTACCCAGAAAGAAAAGGAAATAAAAGATGATCAGGGAGTTATTCCTCTCAAATAATAAAAAGTTCATATTTTAAAAACAAAAGCAAATGAAGTTAACTACAATGTATATCATATCTGATTAGTGATATGTTCTTCAGAGTAGTTTAAAAGTTATACTTTTTTTATGTTACCATATTTTTATGAGCTTTACATTACCTTAAATAACTACATTAATTAAAGATTTTTTTAAATCCAGTCTAAGCCCATTAGTTTTATTTGGTAGTACCAGAAGAGGTATATTTTCTTAATTTTTTATTTTATTTATTTTGAATGATGTGCTGCTTTAGATTTCTTTTGGAGAATGAAATGTTTCCTTCAGAGTTGGATATGTCTTATTCTGTAGTAAATATATTATTCAGTTACTCATACTTCATTTCGTAACTAGTTAATTTTGTTTGATCAAGGAAATCAAAAGCTGAATTTCCTTGAGAACCCTGTTTTTTTCCTATGTTTTGTATGAACTGACTTAACTGAATTTCTTAATTTTATAAGCATCTTACTCTGATTTGATGAAGTGGCTAACTGAACTCGTTAATTTCACAGAACTATCAGTGTTCAGTAAGGGCCACTTATAGGCCAAAATTGCATAGGAAGTGCTAAGAATTTTATTGTGAAATATTTATTAGTGGAAGAATTTAATTACTTTTCATAGGTGTTTTTCTGAACTATCTGCTTTAATGATAATTAATTAATCATTATAAAACTTTCTTACAGCATCGTTTGGTGTACATTGGAAGTTTTGTATTTTATGATTACAGTTGTTTTAAACCAGCAATTTATCCATTCCTCTTCCAGTAATCTCATTCTAATATTTAACATGGATTTGTTTTATTAATTTAGTTGTTTTATGTTTTTTACAGTTTACTACACTGAAGAAAACAGTATGTGAGAATTGTTATTCTGGGCGATCCCGAGAAGTGTGGTTGATATGAATAGAACATTTTTTAGAGTGAAAAAGTTTTGAGATTTGAGTAGAAAAGCAGAGATTGAAACCTCATCTAAATCTTCATTATATCATTTTATTTCCTCATCTAAATCTTTATTGCATGTTTTTTAACTTTACAATTACATTTTTAAGTAAAATGTTTTTATCCTTATTTTGGTAATATGAATTTTACTTTATGTATATATTAAATAAATGCTTTTTTCATTACTTTTTGTGAATGATTTGAATTGACAAAAACAGCATAAAAATTCAATTCTCTTTTAGATTAAGTGATTAGTGACATATTCCAAAAGTGGATCTCATTATATTTCTTAAATTTCAAAGCATTCACTTGACTTCATGTATAGGACTCCTCAGGAAGAGAATAATATACAGAAATGCATCTTTGGAAGTGTGTTGTACTGAGACCAGACTGCTGGATTGATCTTAAATCTTACGTTCACTAGCCACACTTTTCAGAATGCTGTAACCTTTCATAGGGTTTGGAACATACATGTCCTGTATATGCACGCATTAACTAAAGCTAAAAGAATTTAGTTTAAAATTTGATGCAGAACCCTGTTGATTTGTTTTTTGCTGTTTAAATAGTTGACTAGAGTAGCAGTGGGCAATAGTGGGAACATGGAAGATTCAAGATACAGCGGAGTAAAAATGAAGAAGTGTATTAGGTATTACAATGTTAATATTATTGTGTATTGTTATTGGAAAGTAGGTTTCTTTTAAATAAATAATGTTCGGGTAGTTATGGTAGTTTATCTATGAATACTTTTATGTTCCTATTGTATATGTGTCCTTCAAGCATTAAATTATTCCCCTTTCCAATTTTTATAAAATAAAATTAATAAAGAAAAAGGGTTAAGTAATACAAATAGTACACAAGTAAATACAGTATTCATTTGGCTCTAGTCGTTCTCTATGAAAAATTTAAACTCATTCAGTCCACTAGCTTTCAAGACAAGTATTGTAGTTTTTCACCTAAAAAATAATTTAGTGTTTCCCACCCAATTTAACTTATAATCAAATAGACTGGTTTCAAATATAGGCTTAAATAATTAATGCAGTAGATGCAACCAGCCTATCCTTAAAAGTGAACTATCAGTTACACTTTTAAGGATAGTCTGCCTTAATCCTCAGTTTGAGCAAATCTTCAAAAGAATTTTAAATCCTAGGACTCAAATCTTGGGGTTTTTTTCATTATTTAAGCTTTTCAAATAAGGAAATTTTAAATATTTTAAATCAAAATTGTCTCATTTTATATTTGCCATGATTTACAGGACTCAAAAAAAATAAATAAATAAATTTTTAAAAATTCAAGAGTTTTTGAATGGCAAAGTTTTTATTAGGGCTTTGTTAATTATTAAGTAAAAGAGGCATGTGTTTAAAGGGTACTGAGGTAGAAAACAATAACAATCTTTTGCAGCAAAAATTATGAAGTGTCCTCCCCCTTCTCCCCTTTTTTGTTGTTGTCAACAAAGGTAAGTGGAGTCAAAATTAGAGCCTCATTCATGCCATCAATTGTTGTTTATTTTGGCTTTGCTGCATTCAGGTAAGAGAGGAGACGTATAAATAAGTTTGAGAAAAAGAAAATATGCCATGTGAAATGTAGATTTCCAAAAAAAATATGCAAAATATATGATTAACCCTCTAAGCAGCAAAGCCGTATATATACGGCCTAGAATATTTTTTGTCATATCTATAAGAATGTATATATATGTGCATATTAAAATATGTCAGAGAAATTAAGGCAATATATCAAAAGAAGACAAATCCAGGCATGAAATACCAGGAGAGTTTTTAAATTAAAATAAAAAGAATAATTTGTTCTCATAGTAGTTTTGGGAAATTTGTGCTTTCTTAGTGAAAACCCTGGTCGCTCAGAGGGTTAATGATAGAAGCCCTAAATTGACAGGGATTTTATGTAAAATTTTATTTTGCATTTTATATGAAATTTTCACCAATTTAAATTTTCTTTATCATAATAATTATTATTATTTACTATTTTAAGGAATGAATGAATGACTCAAGGTACAAACAAACAACATAATAGGTAAACACACCAAAGGAAATCACGCTAATAGTATATCATGTTTTACTTTTAGCTAAGAGATACACTGCTAGACAGTTACTAAGGATGGATCTCAAATTGCAGTGTAGCAAAGCTGGAATTTAAATATAATAAAATATTTTTGCCACACTGTTTGGAAATTCACTGTTCAGGAAAATACAGAAGGTTTTGAAACATCCAAAAGTAAAAGAATGATGCTGCATACTGAGAAATTGGAAAATGACAGCAGGCATCTTTGAGAAAAATGTCAATGCAAGATGTGTTCACCATGGATTGCAATGTAACTTTGTTCGCATCGCATCATGCTTTGCACATTATACAGTATCTATTAATACAGTGGATCCCACTCCTCTATCAATACATGGATGAGGCTATTCTTGTTGCAGAACAGTTTTGACCAGCAAGTCAAAGCCCAAATATTTTCAATGAGGTTTAGATCTGGAGAAAGTGCTGGTCTGACGAGGCATTAATTATCCTCACTGTGTGGACAGTCCTGAGCAGCTAGTGTTTTATGACATGGTGCATTATTGTTCATGAAAAATTTATCACTGACCAGTCATATCTGAGTTGCAATCACGTGTAGGGGTGTGCAACTATTGATTATGATGTCTGCCCATTCCATGATACTGCATCTCGGGTATCAGTTTCTTTCCTGGATATTTTCAGGACAATAAGCAGTACCATTCTTACACCAGGTCAGTTGGCATCTGCAATCTGATGACAGACTAAACCTATTTTCATCTGAGAATGGTACACAAGCTTAGTCTTGTTCAGGCCAATTACGATGCTCACGACACCATTGCAAATGGGTGGTATAGTGCTGTCTGGACAATAGGACACACATAACAGGTCTGTGAGTGTATAATCCTAAGTATCTCAAAAATCAGGCTGCAGTTTTTCAGAAGATGTTCTGTCCTGTAATAGCAAGAAATTCATCTGTCACATGATGAGCTGCAGTATGCTGATTTCTTTCTAGTAGGTCAGTGTGCCTGTCTCCTACAGGTATGGGTTATATCGTAGATCTAACATAATCTTGCCCATGCATGACCTACATGCTGCGGGTTGTTTTAAATGCTTTCCACAGCCATGAAACAGCACTATGGGCGATGGTGAACTACCCGGCAACATCTGTTATTTTTTGCTTTTCTTTGATCTTTCTAACAATATGGCTTTGCATAAAATCATCCAAATAAAATTAGTAAGACATACCAAAACTTTCAAAATTATCAATTAAGTCTTTGCCATAAAACTTTTCACTTGATAAAACAACTGCTGAACTTGTCAAAACCTTTATCAGCGCTATCATGTGATGAATAGGCGAGCAAATGAAAAATTTGCATATCTACACATCTTCATATTGTATTCTGCATTCTAAATGCATTTAGTGTTTTTTAGAATAACATAAATCCTTAATTAAATTCTGAAATGAAAAGGAAACATGTTGAAGAAAGAGACTGAATACATAAAGAAAATTATTCTTCAAAGATATGTGCAGTTATTTACATTATCATGTAAATTACCCAATCATTTATGATTTCAGCCTATACTATAATTTCCCATTTATATTTCCTCATATGATAGAGTTACTGAGCCAGATTAAATTAAAATTAAATTGTATAATCCGTGACCACTAGTCCACCTTTTTAGTTTGAATGTCTGTTCTTGTTAATTATGTCACTGTGGCTGTAATTGTATTTGATTTTGTTAGCATCAGAACATGCCATTATTTTCTAAGTTGTTTTTGAAAAAGAGGCTTATTTAAACCTCTGTATGATATTGTAGTTACTTTCAGACATAGCGATAATTTCCTTCATGTCTGTCGAGGGTTTTGGATCATTTAACTTTTATCAGATCAAGTAAACCCTCATAGGTAATTGTGGAGAGGTTGACAAGTTAGGAGATAAAGCATGCAGAAACTAGCGAGAGCACTGGTTTGCATATAGAGACAAATCTCTAATTGTTAGAAAAGATGCTTAAAAAGAGGGAAATCAATATAAACTAGCCAAAATGCTTGGGAAGGCTTTAAATTAAAATTAAGGATAAGTATTTCGTTGAGTGTTGTTGTTACAAAACATAAATGTTTTTAAGCTTTTAATGTGTAATTATCCTAATATTGTTTAAGAATAAGTGTCATAAATTGCATGTATTTTAAACTGTGAAATTTTGTTAGATTTTAATAGGGCTTTTTTTAACAAATGTTGTATATATCATCAACATACCTGAGTTGCAATCACGTGTAGGGGTGTGCAACTATTGATTATGATGTCTGCCCATTCCATGATACTGCATCTCGGGTATCAGTTTCTTTCCTGGATATTTTCAGGACAATAAGCAGTACCATTCTTACACCAGGTCAGTTGGCATCTGCAATCTGATGACAGACTAAACCTATTTTCATCTGAGAATGGTACACAAGCTTAGTCTTGTTCAGGCCAATTACGATGCTCACGACACCATTGCAAATGGGTGGTATAGTGCTGTCTGGACAATAGGACACACATAACAGGTCTGTGAGTGTATAATCCTAAGTATCTCAAAAATCAGGCTGCAGTTTTTCAGAAGATGTTCTGTCCTGTAATAGCAAGAAATTCATCTGTCACATGATGAGCTGCAGTATGCTGATTTCTTTCTAGTAGGTCAGTGTGCCTGTCTCCTACAGGTATGGGTTATATCGTAGATCTAACATAATCTTGCCCATGCATGACCTACATGCTGCGGGTTGTTTTAAATGCTTTCCACAGCCATGAAACAGCACTATGGGCGATGGTGAACTACCCGGCAACATCTGTTATTTTTTGCTTTTCTTTGATCTTTCTAACAATATGGCTTTGCATAAAATCATCCAAATAATTAGTAAGACATACCAAAACTTCAAATTATCAATTAAGTCTTTGCCATAAAACTTTTCACTTGATAAAAACAACTGCTGAACTTGTCAAAACCTTTATCAGCGCTATCATGTGATGAATAGCGAGCAAATGAAAAAATTTGCATATCTACACATCTTCATATTGTATTCTGCATTCTAAATGCATTTAGTGTTTTTAGAATAACATAAATCCTTAATTAAATTCTGAAATGAAAAGGAAACATGTTGAAGAAAGAGACTGAATACATAAAG